TGCTGATAACGTGTTGTAGGCATAATTTACTGAACAATTATGAAGGCCTTAGAAAGAAAGGTGTGGCAATAGTAGAGAGAGATGTAAAATTGAGGTGTGTTCTATTCCACCCCATTGTGCCCTTATTTATAGTAGTAGTAGGATAAGTAAAATCTTTATCCTTTTAGAATTACAACTCTTAATAGGTAATCAACTCCTAATAGGAATATAATAGATATTCTTAAATCTACTATGATTTACACAATCATATTCCTAATATAATAGGACTGCAACAATAACATCTTATTCTAACAAAAGAAAAAAATCAAAACAAAAGCTTCTGTTTGTACCGGAAATATCCCTTCACCCGCCCAACAACTTCAAAATTGGTCTCGAACACAAGCCAAGAATTTTGGGATCTCTTGGTCCTTCTGATTGAGTGCAAGCGTGCCAACTCACGGCCTAAGACCAAGTAAGTAAAGAGAAGTTTTTGGAGATTTTGGTTGTGCTTTTAATGATCTTTTCAAATGTGATTTTGGCCCGAGAAAGGAACCTGTCTTAGTCATAGGTTCTCCTTCCCTTTAGTGCAAGGACTTTAGAATTTGCATTAGATGAACGTTGAGATGGGTGATGTGGGTGTGAACATAATGAGTGAATGGATGTGTGAAAGAAAGTTTGGGGATTGATATGGTGAGATGAAAGGTATGGGAAGTCAAATCGCATCAACCCACCCAAACAAATTAGTCGAATGGTTAGAATGACACAATTTAGATGATGGTCATGTCACGTAGAAGGTATCAAATATGGGTCCAAACTAGAGTTTTCATTTTCACTTTTTTTATATTTCCACTAAGGGAATGAGGAAATAAATTGTTATTAAACTTATCATTTACGAGATTCGAACCTAAGACATCTCACTTACTAATGAAAAGTCACTATACCGTAATATACTAATGACATCATTATTTCTCTATCTCTCTCTCTCTAAATCGACAACAAATCTATATCTCAATTTATTGGTCTCAGATCACAGAAAGAGATGCAGAAGAGGGGAGGCATGGAAATTGATGAAGTATCAACTAGTGACAACAGAGGATATCCATTGGTCAAAATGAGAGGGTGCAACTTTGCTCATTACCTATAATTAGATTAGTTTGGTTTAACTAATTTAAGACAGGAATCTCAAAATTTAAACTAATCTAACAATAATCAATAAGGGTGAGCATTACTTTCACTTTAGGGGTTGAGCAAAAATGCACACAAAATGAGAACTCTAAAAATTGCTAGGTGGAAAGGAATACTTTTTAGGTAAAAACATAAGCAACCACCAAAAAGTACACATCTACAATTTCCAAGTCCGGTAATAAAATTTAAAGTGCAATTAGCCCTTGGGATTAGCGTAAATAGTGATGAAAAACAGACTTGTCAATGGATCAGATTTTTTGTAATTAATAGGATATGGATCTGACTTCCGATCCGATTATCCGAATAAGATATGAATTTGATAATTTAATTATAAATGGATTTGGATATAGATCGAAGTTGATCCGATTTGAATTAATATACATATTATTTGATTTTTACAATATACATTTTTTTGCTAAATTTATTTTATATAATATTTATATTTTTTCTGTAACGGTAGTTTAAGTTTTTTTATGCAATAAAAATGCACTTATACCCTATTTTCCCATTATTCAACATGAAACTTTTACTTAAAAAAAAAATTGAAGTTCCTAATGATATTTATATCTTCATAATGATCTGATCTCATCCAATTCCAATGCTAATCGGATCTTAATTGACAAATCAGATCCTATAATTGGAATAGAATATGATTATAAATTGATCCAAAATGAATCAAAACTGATCCAATCAGAATCTAACTCAAGTACAAATCGATAACAAGTCCAGTATTCAAATATGTCCAATGTAACAAAAAAAATTGAAAGTGCAATAACATTCATTAAGAAACCAAGTCTAATGGTAACCAATTTCCATGTTGGTAATTGGAAGATTTCATGCGAAATAAACAAAAAACAAAACAAATATGACAAAAGAGGGTGACTCACCTTTCATCTATCTTTGAAATAATTGATCTTCCTTTTAATCCTAATCTTTTGGAGGCATCCACTTTTGCCCACCTGCTTGTCTGTGATAGGTACACATATTTAATTTAACGTCACTAGGCCTGATGCGATGGCTCTGGCAATCCCTACCATGAAAATGAAGGATGATTGCATGGTAGCGTGAGACTCCTGCATGCTGCATGTGCCTGTCATGGTCACGACAATTGAGTTTCAAGCAGCTCAGATCACACTACCAAATTTAAATTGCTTATGATCTTCAACCAAATTGATGAATTGTGATGACTCACTAGTCACTATTGTTACATATACAATTTCGTGAAGACTAATATTAGAGAGGCTAAATTTTTAAACCAAATTTGCAAACCAAATGATGTGTCATCAGTATAAAATAAACACGTTAATCAACGTTTAAGTAAAAAATTAACAACATGCTAAATTCAATGCAAGGGGAATGAACGGGTGAGATTTACAAAACGTAATATATACTTTAGTCACTTTCGTGCGCTTAAAACGCAAAGTATTGTAGTCACATCTGTTATTGACGGAGGCAGTTAATTTGTTGGGAAGATATTATGAAGAGGCTATTAGATTTTCTTGATATATTTGTGTGGCAGCAGAAAATGCAGGGCTATGATTTAATTCGCAGGGTGCATGCACTGAACCATAAATAGGAGAATTCTTCAATTTAGAGGAACATTTGGTGCTTATTAGTTATTCCTATAGCCCAAATAGGAATCCCCCAATAACTTGAGAAATGCCATTCAACTTTTGTCATATGTGATGGGACATATGTTTAAATAGCAACGTAAAAATTTCCATTTGGAAGCCATATGTTTAAATAGCAACGTAAATCCCATTCAATTTGGTGTTGATTCATTTATTAGGTTAAATTTTTCGAATGACGATTTGAGTTTGAAATCTCTTCCAATATAAGGCAATTCTTGGTTGTTAATATAATGTGAACTTTACACTCATTAACAAAATAAAAACGTGTGAGCAATTGACTGTAACAGCGTAATTTTTGTGTGGAGCAAATAATAAGGGCAATCAAGGTAGAACACGTCATAGAGTGACTTAGGTTAGTGAAACAAGGTGTCCATTGCATGTGCCAGCGATGAACGGTAGTGGACTGGTGGTACGTGTACGGACAGCATTGGCCGTCAAATGTGATGGGACATGCCTTACATTTAAAGGAACTTTAACGAAAAGCACCCGGTACTGTTCACTTTAACGAAAAACCACATTTTTACACTAAAAAGTCAATCATGTTACTACTCACTTTACCCTTTATTTTGTCCTTATCATTAAAACTCAAAGTTTTCAAGCCCTTTTCATTAGTTTTCCTTACATTTAAACTACAGCCAGCAACCTAATACGATGACCTCTTTGACTAATTCCAACCAAACAGCTCAAGATTAATATGAATCATGGGTCCCCCTAAAGTAGTTAACATCGGTAAAATGCAGAGATCAATAATGTTCTTTCTTGTCAAAAGCGAATTTGAACTATATTATTATTAGCTTATTATGAGACTAAACTCATCTCCTCCCCCTTAGTGTATATAATATAGTTTGTTAAAAAAAGGTTTTTAAAAATTTGGGGACTAACTAATGAGTGAGTATGTGTTGTAATAAAGAATAATAGAATTAGAGAAAGAACGTTACGGTTTACGTGACAGAACTCAAATTAGATAGTTTAAAATCTTTGATATGTTATAAAATAGAGTAATGCTAGAGAGACTAAATTTATAAACTAAATGATATGTCACAAATAGGAATAAACACGTTTATCAATGTTTAAGTAATAAATCAATCATCAACTTCCATATCCTTTAATTTTTAAAACTTTTTTTCTAAATTTAATCTTCCTAATAGGTTTATAACTTAATTGATTATTCAGAGAATTGATCAATGCATTCGAGGTTCATTTATCCCGTCAAGGTATTCAGCATTGTGTTTTTGTCGAGCCAAATACGATCACTTGACTATTATTAGAGCATTTAACTTTAAAACATAAAACTGCTGGAAAAATTAATTAATTAGCAATTTAGTTTATTTTCATGTTATGATGTTTTTGATATTATTTTTATTAGGATTTCGAAATTAAATAAGGATTATGACTCCTTTCTTACTTTATAATAGATTTAGGATTTGCTTTGCTACTCTTCTAATATTTAGGATTACTTTCTTATTCGTTTTGTATTTAGGTTTTTATAAGAATCCTAATTTGTAGTCGGTTTATTCTTCTTTTTGTTTGATAAGGCCACATCAAAATTTAAGACGTGAAAAAAAAAAGAATTCTTTTATTATGTGAAAATTGGTAATTTCATCATTAAAAATCTATAATACACCAATGTGGGGATGCATCGGTGCATTGTTGGATTTTGATAATCTCAATCGAACCGTTCAAACACTGATGCATTATAGAAAAACCGTTAATTTTGTTATTATATTTTTACTGGATTGGGACTATGGTGATGATATAACACAGTCCCTGGCTCCCAAAGGTGCCTAAAGGACGAACCAAACGCAGCAAAGCGACAACCGGGAGCAAATTCCCCACCGATGGAGGGACAAGAGACGGCCATCTCGAGAGGCACATCACGACCTACAAGCAACACCAACGAAAAAAAGGGTAATGATAAAAACATATTTTATAATAGGGTACTGCTCTTTACACATCATTTTTAACTTCATACACATATTTCTAGTTTTGTAACCGTTAAATTAAACAATTAAAGTAAATTATACACAAAGTAAAAAATGGGAGTGGTGAAGTCGCTACCCTTTGTAATATAGTAAATTGTTTTATTCATGGCCCCTAGATTATATCGGCAGGGTGACATGTTACAGGTAGTACCGTGTACCATGCGCGTACGTACGTCCTTTTCTTGTCCATATTTCTATTGTTCTCCTCTCCATCCATCCTGTGGCTTTAACTAGTTCACAACCTGAAAACCACAAAAACACCAAACCAGCATCTCTTTCTTTGGCCTCCTTAAAACCTAAATCCTTTTTTTTGGGGTTCGAAGGAAGCCGAGGCGATTTCTTTCTTCCCATTCCAAACAAGGGGTTAAGGCCTCGAAGGCTCTAGCAGAGAGAACGAGAGTCAAACTCTTGAGTGGGGTGCGTGGAGAGTGGATGCGCTGCTCCACCACCGCCACCCTATCTCTCTGATGTTGGCGATGTGATCTCACAACCGAGAAGGCTTGCAAAAGCATAAAAGTTTTGCTTTGGTGTTGGGGGAAACAAAGCAAATCAATCTGGCAGGTAAACGAATAAAAAAAAAAAAAAAAACTAACGTATAATTCTCAAATACTCATGTCCGTACAGGAGACGGATCGATCTTCACGTGGTGTTTTTTGTTTTCTGCAAAAAAGTTCATGTGTTGGGTAGTATTCTGGGGATTTGAGATTGTTTCTGATGCGGGTTCGTGTCGGTTTTGGAGTTGTGTCTAATGTGTTGGATTCGTCTTTTGTTGTTTTGTGTGACAGAGGTGGTTTCTGAGCAAACACATTATAATCTCAAAGCTTCCACAGAGAAGCTGCATCAGATACAACTCTGGCCGTCGAATCGGGCAAGTTTTCTCGAGCCGGGGCAGGCGTTGGTGATCAGGTCTCTGGTTCTCAACCCTGTTTCGGGTGGTCTCGGTCGCCGGTCTGGTGGCTTCCCCTTGATTATGGTTAATCCTTGATCCAACCATCACTGAAAGTAGAGCTTCTCAGCATTCAATCAGACCCTTGGAATTGGAATGTGAGATCAATTTTGAAGATAATCCACATACTGAAATACAAGCATTTTCGGGTTTCGGTCTATTTTTGAGGATTCCGAGTTTTTTCATATCGGAAATGGCAAAATTCAGTTGCTTTTCTTTAATTGGTAGGAGGAAGAAGAAGGTTAAGGTGAGAATCTCTAATCTTTTCGGTTTCTTTCTCATAACGTTATGTGTTCGATTTCTGACTTGTGATGATCCGCTGATTTTCGATCACTTTTGTGCTCGATTTTAGGGAGATGATGAATCTACAAGAAGTGGTCAAGTGGACAAGGCAATTAGAACCCTGCAAGTCAGGTTTCAACAGCAGCCTCCGCAACCGTTGGAGATTGATGGGAAATCGAAGCCGGCAACTTTCGGAGTCCAAATACCTTATGGTGTTGAGAACAAGTACTCTTCCCCTCCGAGTGGCAATACAAGGAGCCCGAAAAGTCCTATCCGGTGCATTGAAGCAGCAGAAGCAGCGGCTTGTGAAGGGGAATATGAGCACAAAGAGAGCCCCTTAGCCAAGGGAACCTTCTCTAATGATCACTCTGATCTGCAACCCAACGAAGCCAATTCAGGTGACGTGACTCCATCAAGGAAGTTGGATTTATCCGAACCTGATTCGAGCTCTCAAGGGGTTCAAAGCGGGCATCTTAGTGATCCCGGGGTTGGTAAGGCCGAGTTTTGGGCATCACCAAAGCTTACCAGATCATGCTCTAATTTGGAGACTCATAAGAAAATGGTAAAAAGATGTCCTCTAAGATGCCTGCTTCCAAGTCTCTGTCTCTCAAAGAACTGCCGGAAATGGCTGATAGTGTGAGGAAGGATGTTGATCCAGGCAGCCCTAGTTGTGTGTCAAGCCACTACAGTGCTGATAGAGTGATGCTGAAGAAGCATTCTTCAAGCCAAGTTCTGCCTTCTCGAAGTCGAAAATTGTGGTGGAAGTTGTTCCTTTGGAGCCACAGGAACCTGCACATAACACGGGATGCAAAACCAAAGACACTTGGTCCCGTTTCAGTGAACAAGCAAGGAGGATACTCTTCAGACACACTTGAACCAAATCGAGCTATGCAGTTTGGCAAGACGGAATCACCACTATCATATACTGGAGAATTGTTGGACAAGGGGAAGAACATTGTAGATGAAAACAAGAGCTGGGATGGTTTTCACATTGGTGCGTCGGCCTTATGGCCTCAGAACCAATGGGTTGCTTTCTCGACAGAAGCCTCATCATCTTCAAGAGTGCAAGACTGGGTGAAAGATCTCAGAATACAAGCCTCCGTTGAAAAGAATGAAGATGACAATGAGGGAATCGTCTCCCCACGGACACCCCCCACTCCTGAGACTCCAAAGTCTCCTGCGACTGCTAGATCGAAAAGCGCCACTTACTTCAGCCGAGGCCTTGAAGAGGATACCTTACATGCTAATACTGTGATCCAGTCTCTAAATTCTTCCTCAACAGTGGCTCACATATGTGGTATGGGCATGAAAGCCATCCCCAACATTTCATGCTTCTGCAGTCTTCGATCTGTCAACTTGTCGAACAACTTCATAGGTATGCCCTCTGCGGAAAAGAAATAAACTGTACGAGTTAATACTCAACACACACTAGTTTTTACACCTAACTAAGTTGCTTGGCTATTTGTCCTATTTTTGCAGCCCACATTACTCCCGGGTCGCTGCCAAAGAGTCTTCACACGCTCAACTTGTCCAAAAACAAGCTCAGCGCCATTGAAGGACTAAGAGACTTAACCCGATTGCGAGTACTTGATCTCAGTTACAACCGAATATCTAGAATCGGACGTGGTAAGTTTTCAACCATCTAATTGATATCAGAACACAAGCTTTTCCCTAGTAGAGTGTATCATTCCGAATGGTCACTGACTCGGTGGATTTTCATGGTGCCAGGATTATCAAGCTGTAATGTATTGAAGGAGCTCTATCTTTCCGGGAACAAGATCAGCGATGTAGAGGGTCTGCATAGGCTACTGAAGCTGACAGTTCTGGACTTGAGCTTCAACAAGATCACAACAACAAAGGCACTGGGCCAGCTGGTGGCTAACTACAACTCGCTACAAGCTCTAAACCTATTAGGGAATACAATCCAGACCAACATCGGCGATGAGCAGCTACGCAAGACAGTTTGTAGTCTCCTCCCAAAGCTAGTGTACCTGAACAAGCAGTCCATCAAGCCACAAAGAGCAAGGGAGGTACTCACCGACAGCGTAGCCAAAGCTGCACTTGGAAACAAAGGGTGGAACCCTAGAAGAAAAGCCAGCAAGAAGCTTAGCCAGGGAAGTGCATCGTTTAAAAAAACTCATGCCTTGCCATCGAAGAAAAGCTCATCATTTCCTACCCACGGCAACAAGAGAGGTGCAAGTATTGTATAGGGAAACATACGCAAGACGAAGAGCATGGTTAGAGCGTTATCTGAACGCAACTCTTCATCCCTAGATGATTCTTCAAAGTTAGGGGACTCAAAAAAGTTTTGAGATAAAAATTTCAAGGCCTGTGTGTCCCTTGTCTGATGTCTTCAGTGTTTCTTCAGTGTCTGTAGGGCCAAAGGTCGTCGTGGTTTTCATGTTTCAGTTTTCCACCGGTTAATATATATATGCAGGCTGCATTTTTGCCCCAATTTCCGAATCTCGTTTAGCATGAGATCAGATACGTTCCCAGGCTATATTTGAAACCAACACAGATGCAGCAACCTAAACCTCCTACGTGATACATCCAAAGCAGCTACAAAAATTTGGAAAATGATTATTCGGTAGCAGATGCCAATCTCCCGTACCTGGTAGCTGGTACATTGTCGATTCATACGAAGTTGATATTTGATATTATCGACAATGTACCAAGCAGCACTGAAAAGAATTTTCGAACTTATATGATGCAAGCAAGTCGGGAAAATCCCAAACGACAAGTTTAGGGGGAGGTTTGTGTCCGCTCCTCTGTTTTCAAAACTAAACAGAATAAGAAAAAAGAGAGAGAAACAGAGCAGGGGTTTGTTATTGAAAATGTGTCAAATTCCTAATCTCTTATTCATCAGTTGTTCCGAACGCTCTTACATTCCGACCAACCAAACAAGGCCATAATTGAGAGACAGCTCAGACTAATGGTTGAAGAACATTCACAAAGCTTGGCACATAGATGAGAGACAGCTCAGACTAACAGTTGGGAGATGTCCCACTAAAGAAAAATAATTTAACCAAAATTTAAAGTGGAAAAGAATTGCTGGAAAACATCATGATCATAATGCTTGCAAACCAAAACAAATCTTCGGCGTAATCTTCTGACGTTTCAAATCTTTATTTGAAATCCATGTAGGATTTGACTACTCGATTGAAACAATTCATTAACACGTAATTATTTGACGTATCAGTTGGAGACACTCGGATAATTCATAAACACAACAATACCCCAATTACCTGAGACTGGCATCCATGACAAGTCCCTGTTGGCTCTGTTGTTTCCAGTGTCTCTTCGAGCTCTGAAGGGATACAAAAACCTGTTGACATGAACATTGCACATCAATTCTGGCTTGTCTTGGCCAAGAGATTCCAACTGCCAATCAATGGTTGATCTTAAAAGAAAATTGGGACACCGTAAAGATTTTTCAAGAACATACGGCATCTTGTATACAAAGTTATAAACAAAAGAGAACTTCTTATCAAAGTTATAAACAAAAGAGAACTTCTTATCTTTCAAAGTTGAAGCTCAAAAGATCACTACAGAACTTTGGAGCTCATGCTCACAAGTCATTTATTACCTGAAATCTAGTAGCAAGGAAATTATGGCATAAATGTCGGTTCTTGAAGTAAATCCTTCTTCTGCAGCAGTACCCGAATGCCACAGTTCACATAATTCCTGATTGAGCTTTTCGCATGAACATTAATTACTTAAACTCTAGCTCCAGTTGATCAACAAGACAAAAATTCCTGCTGCAACTCAAAGCTGAGAGGCGTAATTTTCATACAGCTTCATCACAAGAATACCAATATACATTTTTTTTTTTTTGACAAATGATAGTGTGAGTGGTTAAATTGTTAAATGTTAGGTGGGAGGGAGATCGTTGGGGATCAAACCCACACCGGATTGCATAGGCATTATTGCTTTCCGCCACTGCGCTAAAACACTATCTGCCAAGGATACCAATATATGGATTATCAATGGGGATATAATCCAAATTTCCAAATAGTGCCCCAAGGTTACATCACATGATTTCTCTTATGACTTCAAAAACCTCAAAACACAAGATACAGTCCTGTCAAGGAAGGCTAGCCAAGCTATCTATGATGCATTGCCGATTTCGTTGTAGCCCAATTTTCCTTGAAGCTCAAGAAAAGAACTCAAGTTTTTCTTAAACCTCTTTATCATTTCATTGATCAACACAGCCCTGTCCCATTTCCTTCATATCAGCATGCTTATACAACTTCTCATTGAACACCACCTGGGGATCCTTCTCAATCAGAACCCCATCTCGGTCATAAGCATCATTCAGAAAAACGACCCAATTCATCTCCGTCCCAGCAAGATAAAACGTTCTAGGCTGCTTCAAAAGCATCTGATAAGTATGCTTAGTCAAGCTAAACTCCTCCTTGAACTCCACAACATGGTGTATGGAAGCCCTCTTCTCCAATGTCAAGCTCAAAAACTCATGCAACACTCCTACCCTGTACTTCTCGGCTTCCAGAGTCCAAAGGTCCAATCTTGATCCATCCGAATATGGCGAAACCAGCGGAAGTGAGTTCAACATGTTCAATTTCCTCTCATCCTCTATCTCCAGACCCAAATCCTTCCCATGCTTCACTGGAAACCGAAAAGCCCTCTTAACTCTCTCCTCATCCACCATGAACTCCCTCTCCAACGCGCTCACCGCCATCAACGGATCCCAATTCACCAGTTCAAGCATTCTCTTCCCATCCTCCTCAACCACAATCCTGAAAAAATTAGGGTATTTCGAAACCCTGTCCCTAAAATCTTCAGGAATTCCGAAAATCGACCTGCAATGGTAGATTTTACTCAGAGGGATACGCTTGTTGGCGGACATCATGAGCAATTTACGAACCTTGTTGACTCGGTCCAACTCCATTGAGTCGATTATGACTCGCTCCTCTTCGAGCAGAGCTTCCATGAAGTCGGTGAAGCCGATCCACATTTTATTGTCATCGTGGCGGTAGGTCTGGAAGATGAGGGGGTGGCGCTGGAGGGAGCGAGCGACTTTTCGGCCGCGAGGGAAGCCGAGTTCGCGGTAGAGCTTGCCGGCGTCGTCGAGGCGGAGGACGCCGTGGGGCTGCTTGGAGAGGAAGTCTTTGGATTTGGTGAGGAATCGGAAGTAGGCGTCGCGCTCGACGATGTGTTCGAAGTGGGGGATGAGGTTGGGTTGGGTCTGGACGAGCTTGGTCCGAGGGCTTTCGTCCTTCTTGCGTTTTTTTCTGAATTTTTTGGGCGTTTTGGTGATGAGGAAGGAGGTGGAGAACGGCGAGGTTTGGCGGAGGAGGAGTGGGGGCTGAGAGTGGTTAAGGTTTGGGAGGTGAGGTGAGGGTTTTGGGTTTTGGGTTTTGGAAAGGATGCGGCGCCAAAACGCCATGGAATTGGAAGCTCAACTGAGAATTTGAGACTTTGGAACTTGGTTATGGTTTTTAAGTGGCAATAACAAATTAGCATATCCATTTGTTTTCCTAAATTATAATTTACACCTCTATATTATATGCTAGTGTTATTCAAACAGTCTTATTAATTTTTAGTCATTAATTTTTTTCGCTTCATTTTTAACAGTCGAAAGTTAAAAAGATGAATGACAAATAAAAATAAGTAGTTGAATAGCACTTCTCTAAGTAATACTAAAACCTAATAATTAAAAAATATACAGCAATTTGGAATAATAGCACTTTTGCATACTACACACTATGACTTACACTAATTTGGAACCAGAATTAAAATAAGGAATTTTTTTTTGAAATGTCATATAAACTTGTTTATATTTCAATTTGTCATATAAACTAAAATTTTAAGCAATTTATCATACCAACTTTACAAAATCATTCATTTGTCCTCTCACCCTAACTCCTTTAAATTTTTCATTCAATATAAGTCATGTGCCTCACACAAGACTTGTGTTCGGGGTTATTTAGGTCATTTTAACATCTTTTCACAATTTTTTTTTACTTTTCCTTAGTACAAACACTTAAATTATTTATTTATTTATTTAGCGCATATGCATCTACAACTATATTTATGGCGCAAAATGTCAACTTGTTTCTCATTTATAAAGTCCATATGAAATTATGCCTTCATGACATGCTAAAATGCAAACTCCCACTTGTGTATCATTACATATTTGGAATAACCAGAAAATAGTGCATTGCATGATCATTTCATTGTTATCATATAAAAAATATTGTTCCATTGCCTGAGAAACCCTACAGTTTTTGTCGAATACAACTTGATAAAAGGGAAGTAAGGTATTAAAATGACCAAAATAATCCTAAACACAAGTCATGTGCGAGACACATAACTTATATTGGATGGAAAACTTAATAGAGTTAGGGAGAGATGACAAATTAATGATTTCAAAAAGTTAGTATAACAAATTGCTTAAAATTTAAGTTTATATGACAAATAAAAAAATGTGTACAAATTCATATAACATTGCAAAAAATTTTCCTTAAAATAAATAATAAATAATTTTCACTTTACTATCTTCAAGTGATGTGACAAGCCTATGACCTCACCAAAAATATTACTATTGTGGCGTATTTTAATCCGATAAGGGAGAGGGGACCGGCGGCACAGAGAGAGAATAGAGAGAGATATGTTTGTAGATGATGTGTTATTCCCCTTAGACAATGCTTTATTTATAGTAATAAGGGAGGGAAGAATCATTCTCCTCTAAGGAGTACAAGTCTTAATATGGAAGAATAACTTGTATAAATCGAATCTAGGATTTACATAATCACACTTAAATACAAAGTTTATAGCAGTCCCAAGTAGATTCAACATCATGTAGAGTTGAGGAAGTCGACTCGTCGACACTGATTTTGGGAACATGCTAGTTTTAATGTAAAGCAAGAACTTGCATATGGAACTAAGTCTCACAAAAAACTCAATGGCTATGGTAAAACCCGAGTATGGACAAAATCCATAGTCTAAGGAAAAATGCATGAGAAATGCAAAGTCAAATAAAACGTCTACGCGACGTCATTAGGGATATGACCAATCGTCAAAACCTCGTTAGGTAACAAAAACCCAGTGGAAAAAATGTTCCTAATCGTTGGGTAAAATAGTACATTAAGATCAAGCAAGCATACTTCAAGATACTCCCCTTAAGTTTGACATAATTCCAAAGAGAACTAATATTGTTACAACTTAGAAAGTTTACTCATACATATTCCTTGAACAAGCTTCTGAAACGTCGCCTTTGGTAGTGATTTGGTGAAGAGGTCGGCCAAATTGTCTTGTGAACGGATTTGCGTGACTTCAATCTTCTGATACTCTTGTTGTTGATATGAGAAGAAGAACTTCGGTGTAATGTGCTTCATGTTGTCTCCTTGGATGTAACCCTTATTGAGCTGTTCGATGCACGTTGCATTGTTTTCATAGAGACGTCAACGATGGAGTAAAGATCGCAGGAGCTTCGAATATGGCTTACAACTGCTCTCAACCAGAAACATTCCCGAGTTGCTTCGTGTAAAGCGAGAATTTCAGCATGGTTAGACGAAATGGCAACTAAGGTTTGTTTAGTTGAGCTCCAAGAGATTGCGATGCCTCCAATGGTAAAGATATAACCCGTTTGAGAATGGGCCTTGTGCATATTAGATAAGTATCCTGCATCGGCATAACCAACAAGGCGAGAATCAACTCGAGATAAGGGAGTGCGACATCACTCGAGGATCTGTAGGGATAGAACAAACCCAGATTCGTAGTACCCTTAAGGTAACATAAGATGTCTTTAACACTAGTCCAGTGTCTGCGTGTAGGTGCATTACCGTATCTTGTCAAAAGATTAACAGCGAAGGTGATGTTGGGTTTAGTGCATTGACCTAAGTACAATAAAGCGCCTATCACACTTAGACAAGGAACTTCAAGCTCTAAAACCTCTTCATCATCCTCATTCGGACGAAATATATCTCATTTTGCATATAATGATCAAATGATCATAGGAGTACTTGAAAGCTTCACTTTATCCTCATTAAAGCGACAACACATTTTGGGTGTAGTTTGATTGATGTACTTAGATTCCATCTGAAAGGTGTTTTATCTCGAGACCGAGACATTATCAAGTCTTTCATAGATCTTGCATCTCAAATTCCAACTTAAGGTGTGTGGGACAGTTCTCTCTAACTCTTCAAGAGTTCCAATGAGGTTTATGTTGTTGACATAACTACAACAATGGCCAAATCGGAATGTGACTTCTTAATGAACACACAAGGGCATAGTTCATTGTTCACATATCCTTGACTCGTCAGATACTCACTCAAATGGTTATACCACATTCTTCTGAATTGCTTCAAACCGTAGAGTGAACGCCTCAGCCTAATTGAGAGTGTGTTCCGAGGTTGGAAATATTTGATCCAATCAATGTAAGTCCTTCGGGAACTTTCATATAAATTTTCGTATTAAAATCCTCATAGAGATACACAGTTACTACGTCCATCAGTTGCATACGCAGTTATTATGTCCATAACAGGTGAATAAGTTTCGTCATAGTCAATCCCTAGGCGTTATGAGAAGCCTTGCACAACCAGACGAGTTACGTAAGGCACATTTCATTCTTCTCATTATGCTTCCGAACGAAAACTCACTTCTAGCCAACGGGCTTCACATGTGGAAAAGTATGAGCTACAAGTCCAAACACCTTATGTTTCACAAGCGAATCGAGTTTGACTTGGATTGCTTGTTTTCAGTTTAACTAATCAATTCTACGTCGACATTCATCAACGGAATGGGGTTCAATGTCACCGCTCAACATGATCTCGGTAGCTACTGCATATGTTAATGCATCATCAATAATCATCTCATTTCTACATCAAACATCATCTAAGCTAGCATAATGGACCGAAATCTCTCGATTCTTGGGATGTGGATTCGTCTCTTCAAGGACGCTGAGTTGGATAAAAGGAGTAAGCAAAAGTCGGACTCACGGTAGGCTCAAAAGGATCCTATGCCATGGGTTTCCTATTTCGAGGGTGTGAATCATTTGAACTAAGTGGTCTGCCACGCTTCTGTGTAGGGGCAGAGGATTGGCTAGCTGCTAATGTACGTGGATCGGCCAAAATGGCGTCTCGGGCCTCTATAAGGGAAGTCTGTCGTACATTTGGTACATCTAACTTTATAGGCACATTCTTAACTGGAATATGTGATCTTGTCACTCGCTCTAGATCGATGAAAGCATAAGGTATGCTATGAGCTATGCTCTAAAGATCTAATATGCGCTGCACTTCAGTTTCAGGTTGAGCGGTGTAGGGATCTAAATGAGACATAGTAGGAGTCGTCCATGATAATTCGAGTCGTTCTTAAGGAACGTTGACGTTCTTATCTGCCCCTAACGACGAGAAGATTGTCTCATAGAAGTGACAATCCGCGAAACGAATGGTAAACATATCGCTTGCTAAAGGTTCTAAGTAACGAATGATTGAAGGAGAATCATATCCGACATAGATTCCCATCCTTCGTCGAGGCCCTATTTTTTTACGTAAGGGCGGCGAAATCAGCACATAGACCGCACAACAAAAAATACGCAGATTCAATATGTCGGGTCATATCCGATAACCAATTGAAGGGCGTTATACGGTTGGGTCATAACAGGCTTAGGCGAACCAACATGGCTGCCTGCAATATTGCATGGCCCTAAGTAGTGATCAGAAGATTGGTACGTATAACCAACGATTGAGCAATCATTTGTAAGCACTTAATGAATGCCTCTGCCAGGCTGTTCTGGGTATGAACATAGGGTACTGGATATTCAACTTCAGCCCCAACCAACATGCAATAGTTATCAAAAGTTTTAGATGTGAATTCTCCAACATTATCCAATCAAATAGATTTGATCGAATAATCAGGGTGGTGAGCCCTAAGCTTGATACAGGGTGGTGAGCCCTAAGCTTGATAACTTGAGCCAACAATTTGGAGAATGCAGCATTCTTTGTGGACAACAAGCACACGTGTGACCAACGTGTGGCAACGTCAACCAGTACCATAAAATATCTAAATGGTCCGCAATGAGGGTGAATCGGTCCACAAATGTTCCCTTGAATCCTTTGTAGAAAAGTAGGAGGATTCGAACGAATCTTGTCATAAGAAGGCTTATAATAAGCTTTCATATATAGCAGGTTTGAAATGCGATTCCTTGAATCGAACCTAAACTTTAGGTTAGTGGATGCTCGTGTGATGATTTGAGGATACGGCGCATCGTTGTTCATCTAGGGTGTCCCAAACAATCATGCCAAAGTGTAATTTCGTGCGTAGTCCTAGAGGTAGGGCCAGCCACATAGTGGCTTTCTATAAGGCATATGGTTGTAGTATACAGACCACTCGAGATACGCTCCATGTTCTCTAGAATACGTTTTTGGCCATAATCGTAGGAAGTTATGCACATAAATTCAACTACATTTTCTACATAGGTTTCAACATGATAACTATTATCTCGAATGTCCTTGAAAA